ATATGAAAGAGATTAAAATTAATTTGAAGATATAAAGAACATCTGCTGGTAGATAACAACAATAATAGTAAGAAAAAGAACAATAACAGACCACTCCAAAACAACAGGTGGAAAATTGATAAATAAAATTAGAAGGAACAGTAAACAGCCACAAAGATGAAGATTGGGAAGATCAACACTAATTTTTTTTCTTTTTTTTCTTTTTTCTCTTTTTCTTAAAGTCTTTCTTTCTTTCCTTTTTAAAAAAATACTGTTAAAGCCCACAATAAAAATTATTAAGAAAAAAGAGAAATTGTCTGCAAATGAGGCAGTGTTATGATTGTGTCCATGCATAGTCAATCCAGTTATGCCAGATATGTTCCAGCTTAGATTTGCTAGGGGCTCAATTGTTAGAGGAAAAAAGAAGAGGAGATACCAGTAGTTTTAAAAGGATCTAAGACTCTGGCATTAACTAGAACAGTTGCTTTTGTATGTTTGTGAATGTGTTGGAGAACTGTAACAAAACTAAGTCCAAAGTCCATTTCCCTGAGTACTTTAAAGAGCAAGCACCCATCCATACTGTCAAAGCATGTAAAGATAGAGAGGAGGGCCAGCGGGGTCTTCAACAAAGTAAAATCTCGGATGATGTTAAGAACTCTGCAAATTGGATCTGCTAATATGTGCCCAAGCATACAGATCTGGTTTGATGTCATCCAGAATGAAATTGTTTACCTCGTTAATGGAAATCTGTAGAGGAAACTGTGTGAGTCTAACATTTTTGCAAGTATTGCTTTTTAATGGACAACTTTCACCCTTTAATTGCTTGAGAATGGCTTTTAAAAGTGAGGCTACCAGCATGTTGCATAGCAACCAAACTCTGTAAATGTGTAGCAGGTGTAAAATATGAGTACGCTATGATAAGAAAAGCTGTGAGACCCATGGCAACGGGTGGTTTTTAACAGTAGTGTTTTTGAAGACAGTGGTTGTGACATATGTAGGTTAGAAGCGAACTTTGTTCTACTCGTTCCTTTTCATGTCAACTCTTGAAAGCATCTCTTCCCTCCACATTTGGATGCAATTCTTAATGCATCTTAGAGAACTTCAGTTCTTCAGAAGCACAACAGCTTCTTTGTTTTGTTTATTAATATAAATGGCCCCATTTTAATAACATGATGTGATTTAGTTGAAATAATCTGCTCAGTGGAGGCTTTGCAATGCTTTGTGAGCAACTTGGTGAGATCACTGTTACATGGTTTTAATTCTTCCAGGGGCCCTTCCACAAAGTCTAATATCCCAGAATATCAAGGCAGAAAATCCCACATTATCTGCTTTGAACTGGATTATCTGAGTCCACACTCAGATAATGTGGAATTTTCTGCCTTGATATTCTGGGATATAGGGGTGTGTGGAAGGGCCCCAGGTGTGCCATTTAGCTTCTTACCTAGAAGTGACGGAACGGGCAACCTGTGTGCTCACTCCATTTCCATTACATGGCTGTATATGCAAATGGGGCATAGTGTAGTAGTTTGGATGTTGAGGAAAGTAAAGGCCAACTCTTTCTGCACATAATAGCTTCACCTAATAATAATAATAATAATAATAATAATAATAATAATAATAATAATTTATATTTAGCCATATTTCCCTAAAGGACTCAGGGTGGATTACAGCACACTAAAAACATATAGAGGTAAGCATTTAATGCCTCGCCACAAAAGTAGAATGCAATTAACAACCCACCCAATCTCAACACCAATAGACATCAAACAACCAATCATAAATACAACCTAAAATCACACTAACAGTTACATAATAAAATTATTTCAACCATAAAAACATGAACCTTAGTTTAACAAGCTCCTGAAAGTTCATTAAATTTTTTAGAAATATTTTAAAAATTCAAGGTTGGCAATTGCTATACTACCTCACAGCACCAGGCCGACTCGCCAAGGCTAAAGGACAATGGAAATATCTGACCAAAGGCAAAGTAGCTGACTGTCATTCCCTAGTCCTCCTCCTCTCCATATGCTAAAGTGCACAAATAGGTCTTGAATTGTTTTTTGAAGGAGAGGAGTGAAGGGACCATTTTTACCTCTTTAGGGAGGGCATTCCAGAGGTGAGGGGTGATTGCGGAGAAGGCCATCTCTCTCATTCCCACCAACTGAACTTGAGACAGGGGTGGGACCGAGAGTAGGCCTCCTCCGCTGACGGCAGTGTCCAAGTAGGTCTATAAGAGGAGATGTGGTCCTCCAAGTAGCCTGGGCCAGAACTGTTTAGGGCTTTAAAGGCCAGCACTTTATCTAGCCTGTAAGCAGACCAACAGCCAGTGGAGCTGCCGCAATATGGGAGTTGTCTGCTTCCTGTATGGAGCTCCAGTTAGTAATCTGTCGCCTTGGTAGATGATCTGGTCGCCTTGGTAGATGATCTTCGCAGGGAGCTAGACAGGGGGAGTGTGTCCCTGTTAGTTCTGCTGGACCTCTCAGCGGCCTTCGATACCGTCGATCACGGTATCCTTCTGGGACGCCTCACAGATATGGGACTTGGGGGTACTGCTTTGCAGTGGCTCCGGTCCTTTCTGGAGGGTCGGTCCCAGAAGGTGTTATTGGGTGACACCTGTTCGGCCCCACAGCCATTGTCATGTGGAGTCCCTCAGGGATCAATTCTGTCCCCGATGTTGTTTAACATCTACATGAAGCCGTTGGGAGAGATCATTCGGAGTTTCGGGCTGCGATGTTATCTCTATGCAGATGATGTCCAGATCTGTCACTCCTTTCCTCCTGTCACCAAGGAGGCTGTCCAGACCTTGAACCGGTGTCTAGCTGCTGTGTCGGACTGGATGAGAGCTAACAAATTGAAATTGAATCCAGACAAGACAGAGGTCCTACTGGTCAGTCGTAAGGCCGAACAGGGCATAGGGTTACAGCCTGTGTTAGACGGGGTTACACTCCCCCTGAAGACGCAGGTTCGCAGCTTGGGAGTGATCCTGGACTCATCGCTGAGCCTGGAACCCCAGGTCTCGGCGGTGGCCGGGAGAGCTTTTGCACAATTAAAACTTGTGCACCAGTTGCGCCCGTACCTTGGGAAGTCTGATCTGGCCACGGTGGTCCACGCTCTTGTTACATCCCGAATAGACTACTGCAACGCTCTCTACGTGGGGTTGCCCTTGAAGACTGTTCGGAAACTTCAACTAGTCCAGCGAGCGGCAGCCAGATTGCTCACCGGGGCGACATACAGGGAGCATACCACCCCCCTGCTATGCCAGCTCCACTGGCTGCCGGTTCAGTTCCGAGCACAATTCAAGGTGCTGGTCTTGACCTATAAAACCCTGTACGGTTCCGGTCCACTGTATCTGTCCGAACGCATCTCCCGCTACGTCCCGCCTCGGAGCTTGAGATCATCTGAGGAGGTCCTGCTCTCGACCCCACCACTCTCACAAGTGAGGCTGGTGGGGACGAGGAGCAGGGCTTTCTCAGTGGTGGCCCCTCACCTGTGGAACGCACTCCCCGGGGAAATCAGAGCATCACCATCCCTCCTCTCCTTCAGGAGGAGGGTGAAAACTTGGTTATGGGACCAGGCCTTTGGGCAACCAGGCAATTAAAGACTAGCAGGATGGACGAAATGGTACTAAAAAACGGATCTATGAGACAGCAAACACTGACAATGCAAGGGAGGAATCTAGGTTTGTATTGATTTTATTGATTTTTATTGATTTTTTATTGGAATAATGCATGATGATGTTAGTAATTGTGAATTTTACTGTAAGTTGTGATGATTGTTGTGTTGCCGGCATCGAATCGTGCCTTACTGTGTAAGCCGCCCTGGGTCCCCTTCGGGGTGAGAAGGGCGGGGTAAAAGAACCCCAAATAAATAAATAATAAATAAATAAATAAATAAATCTGGCTGCTGATCTCTATACCAGTTGAAGCTTCCAAACCATCTTCAAAGGCAGCCCCACATAGAGAGTGTTGCAGTAATCCAAGCGGTATGTGACTAAAGTGTGGACTACCATGGCCAGGTCTGGCGTCTCAGACCTGGCCATGGTGGTGTCCCCTCAGCTGTGGTTCCAGGATCAGCAATGAGTCCAGGAACACCCCCAGACTGCGAACCTGTGTCGTCAAGGGCAGTGTGACCTCATCCAACACAGGCTGTAACCCTGCACCCTGGTCCGCCTTCAGACTGACCAGGAGTACCTCTGTCTTGTCTGGATTTAATTTCAACTTGTTAGCTCTCATCCAGTTCATCACTGATGACAGACACACTGGTACAAGACCAGGACAGCATCCCTGGCACTGGGTGGAAAGGAGTAATAGAATTGAGTGTCATTTGCATAAATTTAACACCTTAGGATTCTCGTATGTCACAAACCATTTCAGAGCAACAACAGCAACAACGTGAAAATAATTTTCACCAGCAATCTCAGAGCAAGATGGGAGCAGTAGGGAGCCTTAGCATAGCATGGGAAAGATTCTTCTTTGGATTTTAATTCCCAGAATCCTCCAGAAGATTGTAGGTAAATAATGTGGACCAGAGTAATGCATTCCATATTTTGTGCATAGAAAGAAAACTCTCAAATTAGTTGAAAATAAGATCCAACACTTATCCAATTATCTGAGACAATTTCCTGAATCTGTGTGTTGCTGGGCGGGTACTGACAAATCATTTATCTTTATAGCTCATTCTCAAGAGATGGTTAAAAACTAGCCTTTTCTAAGCTTTGGCTAGCAGTGGGTTATACTTTAGCAACTTGCCTCTGATTCCTGTGGAGACCCATTCAGTATGTTTCTTGAGCACATCTTCTGCTCTTGTTTCTCAGGTTCTGTAGAGAAAATTGTCAGATGGTATCAAAATGGATTTAACTGTATTTAGTCTTTAGTAAAATACGTTGGGGCAGAGTGACTGTTTATTGGACACAATCCACATGCTTGGTATAAGCCATGGAGATAAGTGTCTTCGGCATTTGGTAGCTTAAGTGCTGACTCAAAAAGAATAATATATTTTTTCTTTCTTTTGCTTTTTTTCAGGTGAACTTCGGCAAGCAAGCATAGCCATGATGAACAGAAAACATGAACTGGAAGAGCAGAACAGGTAAAAAAAGAATTCAGAATGGCGGCATATTAAAACAGTTGGCGTGGAGTTGAAAAGACCTGATTTCAAGTTTTTGGTTGGTTAAGAAGGGCACTGGGTGACCCTGAACCAGTCTACCAGAGTCCCTGCTAAATCTTAAAGGGGCATTGTCTGCTCCTTGCTTTCCAAAAGGGAAGAAGTACAAATGATTCCCCAAGAACAGTTACTCATCTCCCAGGGCAAGTTCAGCTGATTCATCTAAAATTAGTTTAAATTGTTTGACCATTGTATTGCAACTCCCCAGAGCCCTAACCAACATCTCCAGTGGTGAGGAATGATGGGAATTGCAGTTCAACATCTGAAGGACCATACAGTTCACACTACCCTAAAACATTTCACCCAGAGTTTTAGCATACCCCATTGTTATGTGACGATATCCACATCCATCACAGATCTAGAAAATGCCCTGCACATAAGTAAATGCATTTTATTTGTTTATTTACTTTATTTCTACCCCGCCCTTCTCACCTCGAGGGGGACTCAGAGCCGCTTCCAATTTTGGCAGATATTCAATGCCACAATTATACAAAAATCAAACAATACATAACACAATAACCATTAAAATCAATAAATGTATAAATTTATATTAAAACCAGTCAAAGTATGCAACCATATAACCAGTCCCAAAATCGTCATCCTGACTACTTCTTACATTGGTTCAATGGGAATCTATTGCATTTTAATTTCTACTCACCAATGGCCTGCTTCTGCAGCCAGAATTAACTTTTTTATGAAAGACCAGGAGGGAGGAGGCCGATCTGATGTCTCTGGGGAGGGAGTTCCACAGCTGAGGGGCCACCACCGAGAAGGCCCTGTATCTTGACCCCACCAATCTGCAAATGGGATGGGACTGAGAATTAGGGCCCCAGCAGATTTTAAAGCTCAAATTGGCTCATAGAGGGAGATACGTTTGGACAGTTAAGCTGGGCCAGAGCTGTTTAGAGTTTTATAGGCTAAAGCTAGCACTTTGCATTGTGCTTGGTAGCATACTGGCAGCCAGTGGAGCTGGCATAACAGGAAGTTGTGTGCTCCCTATACGCCGCTCCGGTGAGCAATCTGGCTGCCGTCTATTGAACTACTTGAAACTTCAGGCAATCTTCAAAGGCAACTCCATGTAAAGTGCATGGCAGAATGGGTTGGGCAGGAGGCCCATGTGGTCTCTTCCAACTCTATGATTCTATGACTGCAACCTACCAGGGCTTTCAATCCCATTATGGTATTCTTTACCCTGCTCTTCTTAGAGAGTATAGATGAGACGAGCCAGATTAGTGTCAACCAGGCCCGTAGCCAGGATTTTGATTCGGGGGGAGCTGAGTCTGAGTGAAAGAGGGTCTACCCTAGCAAACCGTTTGTATCGTTACCCCGATACCCCCATGCATATGGGATATATTGAGCATGGTGATCAGATCATGATATGAATAAACATAACAGTTTAAATAATGTCCAGTAAGGCCATGTCACGGACAACCATGAGAATTTGGGGGGGGGGGCTGAAGCCCTTCAAGCCCCCCCCCCCCGGCTACATTCCTGGTGTCAACAAAGCTATGCTCTCTTTTCCTCAGTTCTTTGAGAAATCTCCTTGATGGTGAAATGGAGCATTCTGCAATTCTGCGTCAAGAAATCAACAGTCTGAAGAAGAAGGTTTTAGAGCAAGAGGAGCTCTATAAAGCGAAGATCCAGGCCTTGGCAAGGTAGGGGAGTGGATGGTGTGACATAGGAATTGATGCTGGGGAAGGTTCATAACAACTTTTCCTTGTGAGTATTCTCCACCCAAAACTCAGGCATTTCTACAAAACTCTGAACTCTTCAATCTGTGTCTGGGAAATAACTGTGTATCAGAAGTGGGCAATCTTTAATCTCCCAGGTGTTTTTGGACTTCATTTCCAACAAGCCCAGGGTAAAATAGCCTATGGTTGTCTCTGGAGGTCCACAGCTTGCTCTGTACATAGTATTGGTTGCTCTGTATATGAATCATAGCCATGGCTCTCTACTAGTTGTGCTTCAGGCATATTATTAGAGCTCATTTTTCTGTCAGGATCTTCACTTTTGTTGCCTTTTTGGTATAATTTTTATTCAATTTTTTTTAGAGATACAATAAAATTACAAAGATTTGGGAAAAGAGAAATACAAATAAATAGAAGGAAAAGAAAAGCAAGCAAAGAAAAAAAAGAATAATGAATTTGGGAGGAGAAAAAAACATAAGAGGACTTCCACTATTTGAAGTGATGCTATGTAAAAGATGAAGAAGACATTTTCCTGCTGAAGAGATTAGAGCTTGAACCAGTGGATTCAAATTACCACAAAAGAGATTCTATTGAGACATTAGAAAAATATATTAAATGTTAGAGCTGTTCAACAATGGAATAGACTGTTTTGAAGGGTAGTGGACTGGACTCACTGTCTTTGATCTTTCAACAGAGAATAAATCGATATCCTTCAGGAGTGCTTTATTTGTATTTCTTAATTGTCAGGATCCGTTATTGCAAATCAGAATTTCAGCTCCGTGATTGTCACTCCCATACATCAATTCCTCCATAAGTGTGTTTTTAAAAAATATATATTTTATATTAGAATTTGCTCCAGAGTGCGTTGTCATCTATTTCCTTCCCTTTCATACCTTTCTTGAGAAGAAACAAAATTAGTTCTTCACTTTCTTTTTATTTGCAGAGAAAACGAGGTGCTGAAGGTACAGCTAAAGAAATATGTCGGAGCTGTCCAGATGCTGAAACGAGAAGGTCAGACTGTGGATGGTGAGTGTCATATTGCTACAAAGCTTGCCTCCTGGCATTTCCGATAAAATGGGTATGCTTGCTGGTACACAATGTATCTCTAATGGATCGTTGTCAAAATATAGTCTTGAAAAATGTATAATTTGTCAGTACAGAACATTTTTATCCAATCATTTCAGATGACAAGAGAGGCAATTTGCCATTCTTGTATTTTAAAATTACACATGATAAAAGAGAAATTGGTGATTTAGTCTTGCTAGTTGTGTTTATGTATGGCATAACAAGGCAGCCTGCCTTTGTCTCGCAATTATCAATATGAGGTCTGTTTATGCTTCATTTTAAATCCATACAGGAACCAATACCCTTTTCTCCAACTAAGGCAATGCCTCATCCTTTTGTCTGACAGAGCTTGCTTTGTCTGTAGTGAGCTGAGCCATGATTTGTCTCCTGTTCTTTTCTTCTTTTCTTGGCAAGACTTAGTGGCGAACCCTACAAAAAGTATGCATTTGACAAGACAGTTGTGACTATTTGTTTTCTGTTTGGAAGTATTCCTTAGCATTCAAGGATCGCTATTTTTGAGAAGGAAAATACAGACAGCCCCTCAAGTTACAAACATCTGACTTAAATACAAATTCAGCTTAAGAACAAACTACAGAACCTATCTTGTTCGTAACCTGGGGGTTGCCTGCACTTAGGCCTCTGGTGGTTTTGGACTTCAATTGCAATACATTCCAACCAGTATGACTCTAAGGATTGTGAAGGGTTACAAAGATCCCATAGTTTACACCATCATCATCATCACCACTATCATCCTTCTCCTCCTCCTCCTCCTCCTCTTCTTCCTCCTCATTTTGTAAAGATCATTCAATCTTTGGTAGAGCCCCCGGTGGCACAGTGAGTTAAACCTTTGTGCCAGCAGGACTACTGATCAACAGGTCAGTGGTTCGAATCCCGGGAGAGCGGGTTGAGCTCCCTCTGTCAGCTCCAACTCCCCATGTGAGCACATGAGAGAACCCTCCCACAAGGATGGTAAAACATCAAACTTCTGGGCATCCCCTTGGCAATGTCCTTGCAAACTGCCAATTCTTTTACACCAGAAGCAACTTGCAGTTTCTTAAGTCACTCCTCTGAGTCTTTGGAGAAATTACAAGTCTGAATCTTTGGAGAAATTACAAGTCTGCAGTGTGGAGGAAGGGGCAGAAATATCCACCCCATCATGTGGGTGAATATTTGTATTAATGGACCTGAGCTTTAGTATGAGCCAGAAATGAGGAAGATATAACTATCAGTCATGTGCAGTCCCCAACTCTTTTCACTCTGAACAACCCCAGACCCAAAAGATTGCCTCTGCATGGTAAAAATTGCAAAAAGCTGTCTGTTTGAGTCATATTGTCCCTCTCAAGACCACATGGATCCATAATAGGTCTTCACCATCATTTATCAATCCACCACTAAGACTCTACCTCTGGAAGACAATCATACTTGAACACAAGTCATCACTCATGACTGCGACTCCCTCAAGCCCTTCCCAAACTGAAGAATGTAGTTATTTTTAACTAAAAATGCGAGTCTACATGGTGTAATGGTTTGACTTTTGGATCAACACTCTGGGAGAACAGGGTTCAGATCCTCACTCAGCCACAGAAGTTTTCTGGATGCCCTCGGTGAGCCTCAGGGACAAATCACCTCTGAACAAATCTTGCCAAGAATGCTGTGATGGGATAACCATAAGTCAGAGCCATGAGCTGTAACAAATATCACCCAAAAGCATCCCAGTGACAACAGAATGGATTATTATTTATATTTGTTATTACTCCACTTTTCTCCTGGACCAGGACCCAAAGTGGCTCTCAGCCTTCAAAACTATACAATTTTTAAAAATGTAAACATTAAAATAGATTTAAATACTATAATTATAAAAACAAGGAAAATGTTAAAATCAGTTCCTAACCTCATGCAGTACCCTTGGACTGTTCTGTAAAACTTTCTAAATCCCTTACCTGCTTTTTTCAAGGAAAAATTATGACTGGAGATAGAAACACCTGGAATTTTGAAGAAATGAGTAATCTCACAAATTACTGTCATCTGTCTTTGTTAAGAGACAACATGGGGCAGTGTGGGATGAAGACTTCACAAATCTGGGTTTCAGATTTCAGTTATGCTTGTTGGATTACAAGTGAGCCATTATAGTTCAGACTAATTTGCTTCATAACATTGTTGTGAGCATAAAAGGGGATGGGGATAGGGGAGGAATGTTATTTTTCTAGCAATAGTATATGTTTTTATGAGCTCTCCTTGTAGAAATACAATTTATTTTGGCATAGCTTGGTTTGTAATAGGCAATTAAAGCCATTTAGCTTGATGAAAGAATCCATTTTAGTGGAAATGAAACATCTGGCTTTATTGATACTTATCGAACACAACTGTTCAATTTTTAAAATTTTCCTTGGGGATGCCTCTATGGGGAAGGATATGATTTCCCCTTCGTATAGTCTGTGAAAGACGCACATAATGGGTTTTGTTCTGCGCATGCGCAGCTGTTGAGAACCTTCTAGAATATTATAACGGAAACCTTTTGGCGGACGCCCCGCCCACACTCCCCAATACTATAAATGTCCAAGGCGGGAGCCTCGGCTCAGTTCCTTTTTCCGCGATCAGCAGCGTTTGGAACCTCTCTACTAGTGAGTTTTTTTCTCTAAGCAGACGGACTTGGTTTTTGACTCGGAATTCTAATTGACCAGCGATACTCTCCTACCCAACGACCACAGCACGGATTTTTGACTACTCTCAGGCCAGTTTCCTTTTCAATATGAGCACCTCCTTCTTTAAAAAATGCAGCTCCTGTGGCGGCAAGGTGCCCGATTTGGACGGGCACTCTATGTGCTTGCTCTGCTTGGGGGAATCCCATCGGCCCCAATCCTGCCAAGTGTGCTTGGCGTTTACTCCCAGGCGCGTAAGGACAGAGAGTCCAGGCTTAAAGCCCTTCTCTATGAAAGAGCCCTAGTCCCGAGCACGCCCGGCCCCCTAGGTGCTCTCCAATTCTCCAAGGGGCCAAGATATGGAGCTAGTCTCCTCTCAAACATCCCCGCCCGGGCAGGAGGTAGAAGATGGCTCCCAACCGGGACCCGCGAAGAAGCCCAAGCCTCCCAAGCAAGGGAAAGCATACCATAAGCATGAGGAAGGGCTTAAAAAGGGGAAGAAGAAGGGACAACTCGGCGGCAGCTCACCCCCGAGTCCCCATTCCACAAGAGGCGCAGCCCAGCAAGGCACGGGCCAGCCCCCCTCAGTTGTCCCCTCAGAACCGCTGGGGGAAATTCATCAAATGGCTGCTGAAACCGCTCAACCAGAAGAAATGGCGCTAGACCCACCAGCGCTCTCCCCCGCGGAGAGTATTTGCCCAAGCGGCACACCCCTGGCCGCCCTGACAGCGGCCATAGGGCCTCTCTTGCCGAGCTACTTACCTGTGCTAACTCAGGGCACTGAAGGCTCCTTAACCCTGCAGGGGTTGCTCCAACAAGCCCAGAATCCGCCCTCAACGGCAGCAATTCAAAGGGGAGACGAGGGCAGGGGCCGTTCCCAGGAGCGCAGATCGCGCCATGTGCCACGGCACCAGCGCAGGTCCCCGTCTATCAGCTCTTGGAATTCTCGATCCCAAAGCCCCGCGGGATCTTACTATGTAGAATATTATTCCCCGGAGCACCACCATTCCCGATACTACAGGGACTGTGCCCAATGTAAGTATGCTATGCCTCATATGGAGAGAGGCTGCTGCCACCATGTTGGTTGCTGCCAGTATGCCGACCACGCCCACTCTCCCTCGGGAGCCACGCCCCCTGACGCAAACTACGCCCATCCAGTAGCTTCAGTTTCGGCTCCGTCCCAACTTGGAACCGTAACTCAGCCTCTGAGATGTGGCACGACACCAGCGCAACAGACGGACCAACCCAGCGCTGCAACAGCGCCACCTGCTGCCGGACCCTCGGTTCCACCAACAAACGGCTTGGCACCGACAGCCGCAACACCAGGAGCCGACACAAACCTTCTCTCGGGTTCCTCTGACTCAGCCCTAATGATTAGGCTGTCCAAGGCCCTGCAACTGACGGTGCCACAACCAACGAAGATAGTGGAGGATCCGATGTTCCCCTCTTCTAAACAGCATGACCCTCCATCAACTATCCTGCCTTCCCTTCCTTTTCTGTTACAACTCAGCAAGGCTGAAGGCTTGGCCCCATCAGCAGTGCCCACAACACCTAAGAGAGCAGAGAATCTATACAAGGTAGACCTCTCCGTGGCCCCGTGGCTAGCCAAACAACCTAAGCCTAACTCCATTGTAGTGGATGTCAGTCAGCCTCGCCCCTCCCAAAGGTCTCAAACTACCCCCTCTGACAAGGAAGGGAAGAAATTAGAGACTTTAGGAAAGAAGATCTATGCTTCTGCATGCCTCGCCTCCAGAATGGCTCACTACAGGGCATACATGGCAGGCTACCAAGATTATCTCTGGGGCAAAGTAGCTGGATACTTGGACATGCTCCCACCAAACGAGCAGATACTGGCGAAAGCCTTCCAGCAAGAAGTGTCACCGCTGGCCTCCTTTCAGAAAGATCTAGCCAAACATACAGCGGACGCAGCGGGCAAGCTTTTAGCAACGGCAGTGGCTTTACACCACCATGCATGGCTGAGGGCCTCCGGCCTGTCCCAATGGGCCAGAACAGCGATAGAGGACCTCCCAATGGATGAGTCGGGCCTCTTTAATTCAGAGACGGATTCGCAATTAGAACATACCCAAAAGATGAGACAAACAGTTCATAGATATGGTTTCTCTCCCTACCTGTCACAGTACCACAGACCATACTGGCTGAATCATTTTCAACAACACCGCAGGCGCTACAGCCCTCCAACATTCAGAGGACGTCAACGCTCCGCTGCTCCAACAGCACCGAGCAGAAAACCGTCTCTGCCATACAAGAACCAGCAGCGTGGTGGAGGTAAACAGTCTGAGCGCCAGAAGCGCCGCTTCTAGC